CGCTGGACCGGCTGTCGGCCCAAGACATGCAGTTTCTGTTTGCCTAGTTTTGTTTTGTTTTTCTTTTTGGTGGTGGTGGTGGTGGTGGTACATTGTGTTGTCGTCACTTTTGCTTTTGCGTCGTGGCCTGCACAAAGAGCGTGGCGGCGGCCGGGCCGTCCTGGCGCTTGATCAGGCGGCACGGGCGGCCGTCCAGCGACCAGGCGATCTCAAACAACGCATCGCCGCCAGCGGCAGCGTCGGGCGCCCAGTCGTTGCGCAGGTGGGTGGTGGCAGGCACGGGCATCGGGACCTCGGCGTAGTCGTGGACGGGCGAGAACGCGCGCGCGTACAGGCCGCCGGTGGAGCGGTCGGCGACGCACACGACGACGGTGGCGACGTCCAGCTGCGCGACGGTGTTTGGCGTGTGGGCGGCGGCGCGCGGGGTCAGGGCGCGCAGCTGCGCGACGGACGACTGGCGGTCGTAGACCACCAGCGTGCGGTGGGCCTCGACGTGGTCCAGCTCGAGGCCGCGGCGCACGATGCCAAACAGATCGGCGACCACGAGCCGCTCCATGCTGGCCATGGCGAGCCGGCGCACGGGCCCGAGCTCGACGCGCCCGCGCACCAGCCCGCTCTGCGCGGCCGGGAACGCCGTGCGCCGCGCGCCCTCAAAGACCGCAATGGACCCTGTGTCGTCTTTGTCGTCGTCTTTGTCGGCGGCGGCGGCGGCCCCTGCGTCCAGCAGCACGCGCGCCGCCGCAAACGCCGACAGCGCCGGGACGTCGAGCTCGCCGCCGCGCCCAAAGCACCGCATCCCGTACGTCGCCGCCGCCGCCGGAGCCACAAACAGATGCGCCGCGCACCCGTCGCCGCGCTGCTGCTGGGCCATCAGGCGCATGGCGCTGGCCTCGGGCGGCGCGCCGAGCACGTAGACGCTGGCTGGCGCCCCGTCGAACGCGCCTGTGCCAAACAGCGTGACCACGTAGTGGGCCATGCTCGCACCGCCTGGTCGGGCCGAGGAGGGGCTCGGTGGGCGAAAAGCGGAGGGGAGAGAGAGAAGGGAAGGGCCCTGGCATGGTGCCCCCCCCCGCAGCCGGGCGCTTAAAAAAGGACCCCGGGCTCGGCAGTCGGTTCCTGGGAGATGCAGCCAGAGTTCTGCAGAGAAGAGGCCCATTTCCTAAGTTTAGACTGCAGTCAGAGGTCGATGGTCCCGCGGATCATCACCCGCGCATGGCCGCCGACGACGACAGTCGCGCCATCGTCGGCGAGCGCCACGCGCAGGTCGCCGCCACGGCGCGAGCACTGCCGCGCGGCAAACGAGCGCCGGCCCAGGCGCGCGGCCCAGAACGGCGCCAGCACGGCGTGCGCCGACCCCGTGACCGGGTCCTCGTCGATGCCGCACCAGGGCGCAAAGAACCGGCTCACAAAGTCGCAGTCGGTGCCGCGCGCGGTGACGATCACTGCGCGGACCCCCAGCCGCCGCCCGGCCTCGACCACTGGCGCCGTGATGCCCGGCTCCAGGGCCGCGACGTCCGCGGCGCCCAGGCCCGGGTCGTGCACCACCATGTACCGCAGCGCCGGCGACACGGCAACCTCCGTGGCGTCCGTGTGCCGCCGCCCCGTGGCCGCTGCCACGAGCGCCCGCACGTCGTCCGTGGCCGCAGCGGCTGCCGCCGCCGCCGGCGGGTCCGCGGGGAGCGTCATCTCCAGCCGCCCGTCCGCGCCCGCGCGCACCACGAGCTCGCCGCTGAGCGTCGCAAACCGCAGCGCGCCGCTCGCGTTGCCCAGCTCGCCCCGCAGCACCTGCGCCGCCGCCAGCGTCGCGTGCCCGCACAGCGGCACCTCGACCGTCGGCGTGAACCACCGCAGCCCGAACCGCTCCGCCGCCTGGAACCCGCCGCCCTCGAGCGGCTCCACAAACGCCGTCTCTGAGACGTTCATCTCGCCCGCCAGCGCCTGCATCGTCTCGTCGCTCAGCGGGTGCTCGGGCGGCACCGCCACCACCGCCGCCTGGTTCCCGCCGAACGGCGCCGCGGCAAACGCATCCACCGTAAAGATCTTGTACGTAGGCATCTCCAAGAGGCTGCAGAAAGCGCGGGAGAGATGCGTACAGGTCCCCCGCGGCTGGAGTGGGGTGGGTTGGGCTGGGTTTCCCACGCCACGGACATTGCAGGGTGGTGGTGTCATGTATTGCACAGTTCAAAAAAGGGGGCATGTACTGCACAGAGGGGGCGGGCCCCCGGTCCCTCCGCATGCCAACCAAAAGCAAAAGAAAAAAAAGAACAGCACCTCGGGATCTAGTGCGACAGCTTGGCCGCCTCGATCGCAATGGTCAGAACCCCAATCACAATCTCGACGCCTACGAAAGTGGACCCATGCGTCAGTCCGTGAGCGAAAACACGAGGCACTCGGACAGCATGACAAAGATGTCGACGACTAGTGTTTGGCACCACACGGCCAGAGAAGGGAGGATGCTTTAGAACGTCGCAGCGCCCCGCTTCTGCGTGCCGAGGGAGAGAGAGAGGAAAAAACAAACAAGAGCCACCATTGCACTTACCAATCAGGATGATGACGATCCACTCGAGGAACTCGCCGTGCATGCCGTTGAGGTGCCCGTTGAGCATGTCGAGCAGGTCGCTGATGACGCTCACGCGGTGGTTCATGATCTCGACGCGCTGCGGGATCTCGAGGTACTCGCGGATGGCCGCGTACAGCGGCTGCAGCGTCGGCTCGGACCAAAAGATCTCGGGCGTGTCCAGGATGTTGCTGACCAGGTTGACGTTGACCCGCATGATGAACAGCTGCCCGATCTTGCGGATCAGCCCCTTGCGCGTCATCTCGACCGTGCCCGACTCGGCCATGCGCTGCGGGATGTGCCGCGTCGCCTCGATCGTCTCGTCGACCAGGCTCTCGTACAGCGACAGCTTTGTCGCCTGCGCAATCGCGTGCGAGATTGCCAGCTTTGCCATGTGCCCCTTTGTCGTGCGCAGCGAGATCACGTCGTTGTAGATCCGCGACTGCGCCTTGGCGTTGATGTAAAACTCGAGCTCCTCCGTCTCAATGTCGTCCTCGTCCACCCGCTCCACGCCAAACGGGCCCAGCTCGCACAGAAACTCCTTTTCGTGCGCCTCGGTCATGCCCCAGATCACCACCACGCCATAGTCAAAGATGAACACCTCGCTCTTGATCGGCACGTACGACTCGTAAAACTCTGTCGCCTGGCCCTCGTCGCCGATGAGGCTGTTTTCCATGCTGATCGCAATCGCCTCGGCCGGCCCGTACACAAACGGCGAGTAGATGCACTCGTCCAGCAGCTTTGGCGCCGTCTCGTTCTGCCCCTTGCGCCCCTGGATCCACTTGAACAGCTGCGTCATTGTGTACGACGACGCCGTCGCATACGCCGTGACCCGCGGCAGGCTGCCCGGCGGCAGGCTCTTGAGCCGGTTGATCTCGCTCCGCAGGTCCTGCGCCCCGCGCATGTGCTCCACCTGGTCGTACACCCCCGTCAGCCCCAGGTACTCGTCCACGTCCGTGCCCGGGCCCTCGTCTTCCGGCAGGATCTTTAGCTTTTGCGACGTCTTTGACGTCCGGAACGCCGACCGCCCCGCCCGCTGCGCCGACCGCCCCGCCGCGTCCGACGTCCGGTGCATTCCGCTCGGCGGCACCACGATTTCCCGCCGCATGCGAGGCGGGTACGACCCGTCGTGCACCCCGTCGCCGCCCTGCAGCCCGCCCGCCCCGTGCTTGCGATTCACCGGTATTGGGCGCTCCATTTATCGCTGTGAGAACAACAACAACAACAATAAGGACGAGGGAAAAAAAAAGTAGAGAAGGGGGGAGCCTTGGTGGCGCGACGTCTGGGCGCGGGTCTGTTTGTCCTGCTCCCCTCGCCCTTCCCCCTCCCCCTCCCTTGTCTGTCTGGCTCACAGCCCAACCCAATCTGCCCCGGCACACAGACACGATGCTGTGTCCGTTGGGGGAAGCGGATGCACCATGTCCGGACCCGAGTTTGGGGGGTGCTCTCTCCTGGGCAGCTGCCAGAAGAGACATGTCTTTTGTCTGGGATTACCTATCGGTGATTTGATCCGCCGCTTTGACTGTGCTGCAGGGCGGTGGAGCGGCCAGTGTCGCTGCCGGAGCCGTTTAGGACCAGACCCGATCTGGAGCCGCCGCACTGTTACAGCCAATTGTTTTGGGTAAAAAAAACACAGTACATGCTTGGCTTTGGCCATGTACGCGCCTCGCTCTCCTCTATCAGCCAGCCACCGCAGGTGTGCAGCAACACAACAGCGCAAATGACACATGCGGTTACTGGCGGCTCTCTATGAGGCCAATGGCACCGTCGAATACCTGCCACTAAGCGCACTTTACACAGCCTCAAGAGGCAGATGCTCGGTGCTACGTGCGCTTTTTGTGTGGTATTCGACGGTGCCATTGGTCGCTTGGAAAGCCACCAGTGCTGTCAGCAGGCGCTTTTGGACGTTTGGCCGCGCCGTGTTTCGGACACGCCTGCACCCGCGGCTGGCGCTGTGTTGGCGGTCGGGCGGCGATCTGCAGCGGGAGGGGCTGGTCGAGTGCTGGATGAGCGCGGGCGGTGCGGATGGCGAGTGCAGCTGGAGGAAGGGGCCGTGGTGGTCAGCACGCCTTTTATACCACCCTGTCACCGCGCCAGGCTGCACTGGGCGCACACAGTGCCCGGAAACACGGCCCGGGGATACACCCCGGGGTCCTGTCGGCACAAGCGACAGCGTCGACGGGTAAAAGGGCCCCCGGGCAGGCGAACCCGGGCGGGCTTGGCCCTCTGCAAAAAGGCACCCCCGGGCCAACACGGGGGCGCTGTGCAAAGACAGAAGAAAAAAAGCCAAGTATTCCGCGGCACTGGGTGGGTGGTGGTGGTGTTGCTACGGGGTGGCAGGCGGACACGGCTGCTAGGCAGACATCACTGGATGCACCGGGGCCACCGGCCCACGGGCCGGCTGGACGATGAGGGCCAGGGCCTGCCGCGGGAGCAGCAAAAAGGGTCACGCCGGGGTTTGAACCCGGGACCTCCTGCACCCAAAGCAGGAATCATTCCACTAGACCACGTGACCACGCAAGCACGTGACTGGACGCTCCGCGGCAGACCAGTTTTGGCGTCCTGTATTTTTGACACACTACAAACCAACAGTTTGAGATCACGTGAAAGGTGGGAGATGCGTGTGTGTCGTGGACCTGGCACTTCTTCTCCACTCCACCCTCCCCGCCCACGGCCGGACCATCACGGCAGACGCGATGTTTGCCCGCTGGCGACTGACCGTCATGCACCGCGCCATTCACGACTTTCGCACTCACGTCTCCCCCGCAGGCTGCCGCCGCTTTGTTTCCAGATGGACCACCGCGGGGTCCCGGCAGAGTACCACACAAGCGACGCTTTCCCGATCACCATCGACGCCTCCGCCGTCGTGCACGGCTTTGACCGCTGGCGCAAGATCCTGCCCAACCACGCCGCCCTGCACGGGCTGGCGGTGTGGGAGGTGTACCGCGCCCACGCCGAGACCGCCATCGACGGCCGGACCATCACCGCAGACGCGATGTTTGCCCGCTGGCGACTGACCGTCATGCACCGCGCCATTCACGACTTTCGCACTCACGTCTCTCCCGCAGGCTGCCGCCGCTTTGTTTCCAGATGGACCACCGT